CTGCTATCGAGTTTTTTTATTCCAACAAAAGGCTCAGCTTGTTATCCCAAGAGAACCGTACTGTTCACAACTTTAAAAAAGCAGACTACGAAGCTATACATTCATTTTTTAACAATATAAACTGCGTCAAGTTGTTCGATGTCGATAGCTTGGACAAAATGGTTGATATTTTTTATGAAAAACTAAACTCAGCAATAGCCCCAAACGTACCTACATTTAAAGTAAGAGGAAACTTTCCCTCTTATTTTAAGCACGACACGATCAAGAAGATCAAAGAAAAAAACAAATTTCATAAAAAATACAGATCTTATAAAAAACCTCGCTACTATCAGGAATTCTGTGAATTAAGGAAACAGTCAAAACAAATGATAGCTAGGGATTTTAGAGACTATGTGAAAAACATTGAAGAAGAAATAGTTTTAAACAGCAAACATTTTTGGAAATATGTTGCCAGCAAAAAGAAAAATCACGAATCTATACCCAGCACAGTTTACTATAAAGATAAAATTGCTCGTGATGGTGAAAATGTGTGCAACTTATTCTCGGAATTTTTTTCCAGCGTTTTTGTTGAACCTAAAAAGTTAGTTCCTCTAAAAGTGAATGGAAATCATAGGATTTCATACTCATTGCCTTTAGAGACAGTCAAAAATCTCATTTGTAATATTGACGAGAACAAAGGTTCAGGACCCGACAACATCCCTCCCATTTTCATTAAAAGATGTTCGGAAAGTATATGTGTACCTTTACAGATTATATTTAACGCAAAGTCTAAAACTAAAATATTTTCCTACTAAATGGAAGGTTGCACATATACTTCCGATATTCAAAAATGGAGATAAACTACTGGTAACCAATCATAGACCTATCAGTGGTCTGTGCACTTTTGCAAAGTTGCTCGAAAAAGTTGTTTACAACCTAATAATTCCATCAGTAAAGAACATAATCGACGAACAGCACGGATTTTTTCCAAACCGTTCCCTAGAACCCAATCTTTTGTGTTACACTGATTATACTTGTGAAGCCCTAAATAGCTTTTGATAAAATAAATCATGAATTGCTGGTTGAAAGGCTTGTTGAGACTGGTGTCGACGATGCACTATGTCATTGGATATTGTCTTACATTACCAATCGTAAGCAAATTGCAGCTATCAACGGTTTCAAGTCGCTGCCAGTTACGGTTACGTCTGGAATCCCAAAAGGAAGTCTCCTAGGTCCTTTATTATTTATAATTTTTATCAACAACTTAAAGAAATCCTTTAAATATGGAAATTGTCTATTATACGCCGATGTCTTGAACATATTCCATACAGTAAGAGACATTAATGACTGTAAAGAAATCCTAAAGTGATATAGATACTTATGTCAATAATGATTTGTTTCCAAGTGCTGATAAATGTGCTTTTATTAGACTCTCCCGGAACAAATCTCTCATAGAATACCGGTACCAAATCAAAAATATACCTTTGAAGGAAACGGATATAGTGAAGGACCTAGGAGTCCTCCTAGGTGCAAAAATGACTTTCCAACCACACATAGAAAACTTGATTTGCGAATCAAACAAAATGTTGGGATTTATCTGTAGAATCTGCAGGGATTTCAAGAGTGCAAGAGCCATGTCATCCCTGTAGTATGCATATATTTATAGCACGTTGAACTTTTCTTCCGGTATATGGAACCCTCAGTAAATCACATACATAAATCGAATTGAAAGTGTACAAAATAGATTCCTGAAGAGATTAAGTTTTGAAATCGGCAATCCGGTACGTGACGGAAACGATGATCATATTAGACAACATTTCAATATCATGACCATAAAAAGTAGAAGAATGATGTCCGACGTGTGTCTTATATACAAAATATTCAACAATTTTGTTGAATATTTTGTATTATATTCAAAAATAAATATTAATGTGCCAGATAGAAACTACCGCCATTCTAAGTTTTTCACGATTTCCTTCTGTAGAACGAATTTAGGAGTCAACTCACCTATAATTAGGGCCCAGAGGGTCTTTAACGATACCTCTACAAATTTGGACATTTTTGTGGTTAATTTTAACAAGTTTAAAGCAACGGTAAGGAGGCAGCTTACATAGGATAGTATCATACTATCTAATTGTTTGTTTGCTGTGATACTGTTGTCAGCCATTAATACTTCTATATAGTATTTTATATATTTTGTTATCAAAGCTGTCTAGTAACGTGCCCTGTGTTTGTGTTTTTTGGTGACTAGTGCGATTCATCGAATAGTGTAACTGATACATGCTAATTTTTAATAAAATTAAATTTTAAATTTATATCGTTTTATAGTAGTTGCTATATCACAGTATTGCTTATTCTCATATAGTAGGCTTGTGTTACAGATTTTCATATCTGCTGGATTTTGTAATCTATGTATCTTTTTAATTTAACACTATAGTAAGCAGCGGGTGATGTCTTTGGAATTCACATTCTGTTGCACCCCAAGCATGAGTAAATAAATAAATAAGTAAATTTTTGAACATTTATTGAAATAAAGCTTTGATTATCTAATTTGTTTTTTTTATTTTTACGAAAACGATGCACTCTAGGAAAAAACACAAGAGTAATTATATGTAGCAAATTGCGCGTTTCGAAAAAAAAACAGTTGCGTACATTTTTTTTTGGAAAAATAGTGCTACTAATCCTTTGTATCTCCGCCACTAGTGCACGTTAAGTTTTATTAGAATTTTAGTTCATTCCAGTTAACGGTTTTGAAGATATTAAAAAAATAACCATTAAAAACATCTTACTTTTAAACTTCTTTTTAATGAAGCCCTCGAGAAAAAATGCTACATAGAAGATCCCCTTAAAATGCGGTCCTGTGTATGATGTTACATTTTTGGTCACGACTTATGAATCACCCTGTACGTTATAGAAACAGTCAGCATTAAGGAAAGTACAAGTACTTAAAGCTGGCACCAATATTTTAAACACCTTCACCTGCTTTTCTACAGATTTTACAGCCTTTACAACGTAAAATTAAAAAAACCTTATCCGCCGGGAACAAAGTGGATAGTGTGGGGGTGATTGAGTTGATCACCCCACATGCGGTGGACAAAAGGCAAATAACGGATAGATATTGGAATGTATGGTGAAAGGTACAAAAATTTCGCTGTCAGACCAAAATAGTCATTAGTTTGGAATTCAAATTGTTCACAACCGAAAATCGACTAATTGCCTGTCATTTTCATTAATTTCCACTTATCTTTATAGTGCAGGTATCAAGCACAACATTTCCGTCCGACATCCGCTAGGTGGCGTTATCATGGCGCGCTCGGAGATACAGTTTATTAAACTTAAACAAAGAAGTTACATCTCATTTCGTAAATTTGAATATCAACCTTAATGCAAAAAACATCGTAAATTGGTACGTTTAGTTTGAATTTCCCGGGTGCATTTATGTTGGTAACAGTTTTCTCTGTTGTGACATTGGGTGGAATGCATAAAACGTGTAGATGCTAATGCGTCAAGTATGTACTACATTTTTGAAGTTTTAACTACACTAACAAAGCATTTACTTTCCTCCATAGCATATGCTACTATGTACGAGATAGATAGAAGAATATACTACGCTTTAGAAGTATTTGGTGGTTTAGTAGTATTTGCTCCAGTTTAAGTGAAGTTAGTGTATGAGCAACTTCGGCTACCGCAAATTCAGTATTTTTTTTTGGAAAATGGCAGCATTCATGAATGTGCGTCGTAGAAAAGTTTACAAACAATCGAGGATATACAACGATGATATTTATCGTAAATTATTTAGGTAATTATCATAAATCATGCAGTTTTATGGTTATGTAATTAATATTAATATAAAGTCAAGTTACTTTCATAATTTTTTGTTTAAGGTTTAACAGAGAAAATGTAGAGTGGCTTGCAAACCATTTTCTTGACGATAATGAGGATCCCGTTTAAACAAGAGGTGGAGCTTTGTCACCTACTCGGAAAATGGAGATATTTTTGAGAAGTTTAGGTTAATATAGGAAAGTAATTCTAAAATTTAAAAAATATAAATATAAATTTTTCTGGAGATCCTGGATTTCAGAGAAATAACTGGATAACATTTCCTAATACTAACGATTTACTTGGAGTTGCTATCAATGAGTGGGCAAATACCAAGCGAATGCCCAGTGTCATAAGTCCTATTGATTGCACTCACGTTAAAATAACAAACCCACGAATCCATGGTGATGAATATGTGAATAGAAAAGGGATATGTTCAATAAATGTACAAGCTACTTGTAACGCCAAAGAAATATTTACCAGTGTCGATGCGACTTGGCCAGGCTCCGTCCACGATAGTGGAATTTGGCGAAACTCCCTAGTGCATCGAATTATGTATAATAATGTGCAAGGAGCAGCCTTGTTAGGTGATGAAGGATATGGTATTGCACCGTGGTTGTTGACAATATTTAAAAATCCAATCACACCTATTCAAGAAAATTATAATTTAATCCATGCGAAGGAACGTTGTGTCATAGAACGCTGCTTTGGTCAGTTGAAACGGCGTATTCCAATGCTCCAGTATACATTTCGCCTAAAAAAAGAAAACATTCCAAAACATATTGTGAGTGCATTTGTGCTTCATGACATATCTAAACATTTGCAAGATCCATACCATGATTTTGATCCAGTTCAAATGGAAGTACAAGATGCGATTGAACTGATACCTGAGGGTAATCAACCACAAATTCGAAATCGAGGCACACAACGTAGAAACGACGTTGCGGAGGCTATATTTCGTGATCTCAATTAATATAATATCATTATGCACAGGGTCGTCTAATAGCAAACAAATGTTAAAAGTGAATTATGGTATGTGGTATTTGGTTTTATTTTCAATTACTAATTAATATATTCAAAAGATACAACTTAATAACATTTATTTAGTAAAACCTTGTAACAAAATGAAATTATAACTCGTAACATTTATTATTATAACTAGGTATATATATTATAACATTTATAAATACAAACTTATTTTCTTACTGTAACATGTCACGCTCAATTATATGGTTGACTGACTGCTCACCAGCTTCGGCAAACTTCACTAATGAAATCGCGGCTCGTTCTTCAGCTGCCGCCGAAGACTGTTCAGCTCGAGCACAAGAAATTTGAGCTTCGGCTGCTTCAATTTGTTTTCGTAAGCAATTCTTCTGTAGCTGAATCAGTGACTCCTCTTTCGCATTAGGATTTTTAAGTGTTCCGGCTGTAAATTGTCCGGAACCAGATTTGGAACTAAGGAACTTATATTCTTTTTTTTTGTAATGAAACCCCATCCTCATCTACTACACCGACCTGACACGCACCTGGTATCCTGTGTAAGACTGGATTGTCTCCGACGTTCCATAAATCATAGAGTTTTCTTTGCCACTCAGTCAGTACGATTTTTTACAAGTTTATTTCACGTCAACAATTTGTTTAACTTTGGTTTTCATGTTATTAAATTTTTTCAAAATCTGTTTTGCATCCAGTTTTTTTCCTGTTATTTCATTGAAGGCAGCAGTTAATTTCTTCAGTGCATCTTCATTTTCATTCTTGAATTTTGGTGTCATTCTGTTATCAAACAAAATTTGATAATCCTCAAGAATATTAACAAATAATAATTGTTCATTTCTATCCTGACCTAACTCCTTTGTCGCATCGGAATCTGACGAGTCACTCATTTTTACTTGTAGACGAAATGCTAATAATGTACGTAGTAAAAATGTATTGTGAATGTACAGGCAGATGAAAATCGAGTTCTAACACGATTGATGTGATTTGCACGAGCACACAGCCGCCTCTTAGGCGCTTAGTAGTAGATACTTCAGGTTAGTAGTAGGTAACGGGTGATTTTTTAAGAGGTATAGGATTTGATTTTCAAAAAAAACACAAAAAATTTGAAAACACGATTAGATCTTTATTTGAGTCGATAGAACGGTCGATATAATTTAATGTTTAAAGATTATTTCATGTAAATCTAGGCGGCCAATTGGCGGGCCCCAAACGTGAGATAAACTGTTCACCGAACTCGCCTCTCAATAGGGCCATTGTTTCGTGTGCGGTGTGGCAAGTGGCACCATCTTGTTAAAACCACATGTCAGCCAAGTCCAGCTCTTCCATTTTGGGCACGGTAGCGCTCGCCATTCACAGTTACGTTCCGGCCATTGTCGTCTTTGAAGAAGTACGGCCCGATGATGCCACCGGACCATAATCCACACCAAACAGTGATTTTTTCTGGATGCATTGGTAGCTCGTGCAATGCTTCTGGCTGGTCTTCACTCTAGATGCGGCAATTTTGCTTGTTAACGTACCCATTCAACCAGTAATGAGCTTCGTCGCTGAACACAATTTTTCGCTAAAAATGTGGATCTTCCTCCAACTTTGCCAGCGCCCATTCACCAAATTGGAAACGTTGTGGGAGGTCGTGTGGTTTCAATTCTTGCACCAGCTGTATCTTATAAGGTTTTACACCCAAATCCTGTCGCAAAATTTTCCATGTAGTGGAGTAACAGAGGCCCAATTGCTGCGAACGGCGGCGAATCGACATTTCACGGTCATCACTCACACTGGCGGATACAGTCCTCACTCTACATCTGCGTGTTGGTGGTTTAATGTCCAATAATGTAAACTGGGTTCGAAATTTAATCACAAGCTTCCGAATAGCTCCCTCAGTAGGCCGACCAAATTGCAAATAAATTGGAAGCAGTGCTCGATGCACTCTCTTAACCGAGCATGAATTTTGATAGTAAAATTCAATAATTTGCAAGCGTTGTTCGTTCGTAAGTCGATTCATGGTTAAATTATAGACCAAACTAAATAAGTTTGACAATGACACAAGACATGGTTCACGCGTCATCTGTCAAAAACAGTGTTGCCAAAAAGATACTAGCAAAAAAATCACCCATTACTTCTTTTGTGCCATACAGTATAGTATATTCTTCTCGGATAAAGCACATACTTCTATGTAAAAGAGGATGCTACAAAGTAGATACTTTTTAGTGAAGCAATAGCATCTACTACGTTTTATGCATTCCACCCATTGTCGCAAAGCCTAGGTAATTACGCCAACGGCTGTTGTCTATTTGTGGCCTATTTTCGTTTTTTTTTTTGAAGTTTGACGTATCCTTTTAAGCATTTTGCCGAAACCTCTAGGTCGACAAGAAAAATAATACGTCATTTCTTTGACGAAATATTATTGCTTTTACAGTACGTAAGAGCGATATTAGGTAGTAAACAGAATATATATTAGCTCTAGCGTTTACAAAAACTGCGCTCCGTAATGTTGGTTGCGGTAAGGCATCGAAGTAGATTTTGTAAAACGTCCTAGGCTCTAGTAGTTTTAATTAATGTGGCAACCATGTGCGTCACTGCCATTATTTGAAGTTGTGATGTAACTGCTTTGATTCAGTGAGTAAACTATAACCACTGTAATATGGTCTCCTCCGACTAATAGACAGTAGCAGTCTGAAGAATGCGACTTCTATGAATAACATTGTTGAGACTGTCGCCAAATACAAACCGTATGCTTAGCTTAAATGGACCTTCAGCAGTTTATACATAATAAACATATTTGTTTGCTTTCCTCTTTGCTATTATTTCCTGATTCTGGCAACACTGCATATTACTATTACGATGTTGTCTGAACATAACAAGGATCTCGGTCGATGCACATTTTCTTTTCAATGCCGAATTGTGCACTTGTTATTTTACGATGGCGTTTCCTGAGGCTTGTAAGCTTTCGTGGACTTAAAATTCCCGGTTATAAAATGTATTAAACTACGCTGCTCTACTACATTGTTACTCCGGCATTATGCCTCAGCCGAAACGTGGATGTGTAGTAGTAGCTACCAGCTAACGGCTCTGATTATAATTTATAATTCAAAACACGTTCTGCACTATAATCTGGTTTGGTATTACACACAATTTAGCATCCGAACCTTATATCACATAATGTGCGAACAACCTGGGATTATGCTCGAAATTGTTAAATTAACCTAATTTGATTTTAGTGCTATATATACTTGGGGGTGGTTTACCAGCCATACTAGCTGAGTTTTGTATGTCGATAAAGACATATTATTACAAGGGTGTGGCATTCTGGTAACCAAAAATGGAATATGGTATGTACTATAGCAACTGTTTTACAGCGTTTTCCACTGGCATGCATTGGTGTGCACTTTCAATTCCGGTATCGGTGTAGGTCAATATCAAGAACAGTGCAATCGTTTGGGAGGTAAAATAATGCAGAGCCACTTCATTTTGTTTTCACTGCCCGTTATAGTCCACTAATTGTGAGGAAGATGTAGAATAGAATAGAAAACTTGGAACCCTTTTGCCGTTATCAGTTCATACCTTGTCATGTACTCTTTTTTTGAGAGCACAAGTAATAAAAAACTATAGTAATAATTTGCTCCAGTAGAAGACGTCGCGACAGAAAAATTCACTAGAGTACCAAGCAGAGCGTTCTAATAAGAAAAAGTGTTAATGTAACATCTAAATCTCACCCTGTTATTTAGATGTCGATGATCCCACCATGCTTGTCTGGCTAGTAAAACCACATTTGTTTACAGAATCTTTTTTACGGTAAATGTTGCAATAAGAAATGTTCTTCAGTATAATAATCACAACATATTTGATTTACTTGTCTTCCAGGTGACAGTTCGTTTGTTTCTTCTTTTGATTATGATATAATTGTACTGGAGTTACTGAAACGTTTACACTAAAGAAGATTCTGTCAATACTTGTGGTTATATTCACCAGATAAGCGTAGGGATTAAGAAAAAGTGTGTAAATAGTTGAAAGGTGCACACCAGTGGAAAACGTCACGAGTGAAATCATAAAGAGCTGCAAGTGAAGGTAAACAATATTTTCACAATCAATCCCGCTCTATTTTCGTATAATTCCAATTTGTCCATCACATTTCTACTAAAAGCATTCTGTACTCGTATACAATGAAAACCAGATTTGTCTGTTGGCTTGAGTTCAATGTGTACCAGAGAGAATTGTGAATTGTGTCGAATCTGTTTAGGATCGTTTCGGATCGGACCTAACGGCGTTTCATTTTAGGTCGAAATGAAAAGTCAGGATCGCCAAAAATTCTGCAACATTGCAACATTGATTCGCTTGGCAACACCGCGTGTTGTACATTCCAAGGCAAGTTTTCCACTTAGATGATCATAGATAAGCGATTTTGCTTATCCAGCGCTCCTTGGGGAGTGTCGTCCTGCAGCGTAACGGTTTTCACCTGCATACTCACAGGCAGTGATAATTTGTATTATGTAATGGTATTAATAACTTAGGATGTGTTATCAGAATTGAAATAAACAATTATAATCAAAATGAAAACGAAATATTAAATTAAATGTTCGAACAGATCTCCATCATGAGTTTGACAGTAATCTAACCTATTGTAGAAGCCTGTGCGAGGATTTTCTTGTGTAACATATTGGCAACGCAGCAGTTTGCACAACCATCTGCGTCACCGCTGGTAGGCAATATGTTGATGACCTTCGCTCTTCAGCCAGCTTCTATCTCTTTCTAAACTTTCTAAACTGTGTTGATATATAGTTCTAGCGCTTCTCTTTCGTACGCATTGAATTCAAGCTGTTGTCAAATTTGATTTCCCCTGTATACCCATCATTCTCTCCTTTACTTTCTTGCCGAACTCATATTTTTACACATATTTACCTAATAAATAACAATCACCTGATATTTTTGCTAGCCCAATGCACTTACGAGGTAAACGAAAATAAATGATCTGCTTAATGTTGAAAAAGCGTGAGTCACAATAAAATTCACTTTTGAAAATATTGTGTAAAAAAACAGAATATACTTTCAAAAAGCTTTTCATACTGTGTCATATTGGAAATTATTGCAAAAGTCAGATTCGATTGATGTCAGGTGCAATGTTCTATCGCATAGGACAGGAAAGAACTTTTAGGTTGGATGTTGCGCAAAGTAATGTTCTTGACCCTACTTTTTCTGATCTCGTGCGTCTTTCTTCAGTGACATTTCTGTTTTCAAAATCCGTAAAAGTAAGCGTATTATTGATCAAGTTGAATCATTAATGTACTTAAGTGTTTATCTTGATAGATTTCTCAAAAGATGATTTCAAATAAATTCATTAACAATAGAATAAAATTACTTATTCTACAGGTCTTACACCTTACGTAATATTTTGAATATTTTTTTTTATTGTACATAGTCATGCCATAAGTTATGTCCCTCGTTTTCAAACAAGTGTAGACCTGTTAATACTTGTCCGATTGTTTACATTGTGGTGTCAGTTGATTAAGCGCTT